ATAACAAATCCTAGGAACTTGATAGTGTCTACCATGAATTCACATTTGGCAGTGTTAGCAAACAAGCGTCGTTTTAAGAGTACTTGAAAAACTTGTCTCAGATGTTGTAAATATTCATCTTTGTTTTGACTGTAAATTAAAATATCGTCAAAATAAATAACAAGAATTTTCTTTAAAAAGGAACGAAAAACCTGATTCATGAGACACATGAAGGTTTTAGGTGCATTGGATAATCCGAATAGCATGACAATCCACTCATATAACCCATCCCTTGTTTTGAAAGTTGTTTTCCATTCGTTGTCTGGCCTCATTCTGATTTGGTGGTAGCCACTTCTGAGATCTATCTTTGAAAAGATATAAGCACCACTTAGTTGATCAAATAAATCATCTACACGGGGAATAGGAAACCTGTACTTGATGGTAATTTTGTTAACAGTCCGGCTATCGATACACATATGCTAGGTGCCATCCTTTTTGGGCCCAAGGAGAGCCGGAACAGCACATGGGCTTGCACTTGGTCTGACAAAACCCGTAATATCAGCTCTTCTACTTGCCTTTGTAACCCCTCATAACTTTTAGAGGACATTCGATAGTGGGTCTATTGGGAATGACAGATCCAGGTATGAAATTGATGGCATGCTGAACTTCTCGAATATGTGGTAAGCCTTTTGGGAGTTCTTCAGGAAAGATTTGATTAAATTCATGAAGTATAGGCTTAATTTTTGGCGAGTGACAATTTTATATATTGTTCTCAGCCAGTATGAGTAACATGAAGCCAGTTTGAGCAGTTCTGAGGGATTGTACAAACAGTGTTGATTGATCGGTCAAAGTTGGAAGCTTCCTTGGTAGATCCCTTGCTTGATTTTCATTGAATGGTGTAAGCACCAAGGTTCGGCCATTATGTTGGAAGGACCGAAGGAGTACGTATTGTGAAATCCATTGTGTATAGTTTTCCTGTTAAACTGCCAAGGTTGGCCTAGAAGTATATGGCAAGCATCCATTGGTACTCGTCGCATAGAACTTGCTCTTGAAGATCCTCGCCCATAGAAAATTGAACCAAACATTGACGGTTGACCTCAATTTCATTGTCTTTCTTTAGCCATGCTAGTTGATAGGGTTGTGGATGTGGTTGTGTGGACAGATGTAGCTTTTCTACCATTAAAGAAGATACCATATTTTCACAACTACCACTATCGATGATTAGATTGCATATTTTGCCTTGAACTGTGTATCTGGTCCGAAAAATATTATGTCTCAACCACCTGCGCTCAGGTTCATATTGAGTATTCAAGAGGCGCATGATTATTAAGAGTTCCCCTTCATCAGCATATATAATTTGTTTTGTCTCGTGTATGCTATTTGCATTTTATTCACATGGATCTTCATAAAGTGGAATTTCTTCCATTAGCGTGACCAATCGACTTGTGGGGCAGTTAGCCGTGATGTGATCGAACCCATGACATTTGAAACATTTTCTAGCAGAAAACGAGTTGGTTTGTGGAATGCCTGTGACTGAACTTTGATGAGCCGAGCTGGTAGATACATTTGGTGGGTGGATGGATGTAGTTTTTCGGTCCCGAGCAGAGATGCTTGGACCGTTGGTTCCGAACAGCTGCTCTCTGGTAGGAAATTTTCGTTTCCCTTACTTCAGTTGTTTCTCCACTTTTAAAGAAAGATTAATGACATCGGCCAAGGTCCAGTATGGCTGGAGTTGGACAATATTAGATATGGAACTCTCTCCTAGAAATCTAGCAATTGTGTTTTCTTCTGGTTCTTCCAATTGACATTTGAGGCCCAATTGTTCAAATTCAGCAGCGTAACCTTCTACTGATAGTTCGTGCTATTGTAGATTATGTAGCTGGAGGAACATATTTTGCCCACGTCGTAATTTTGGATTTCCCTTCTCTCTGACGGGAACGTTTTAAATTTTCCCATCATAAGGACTCATTTCCCTTGAGCTTGATGGCTACAAGTTTGACAATGAATTCTTGCGGCATTTTGTTTGTAGTCAAGAATCCGTTCAATTGTATGTAACCAATTGATGAATTCGTCCGCGTCCAACTGTCCTTCGAATTCTGGAAGATCAAGTCGTATGCCGAAACCATAAACATGCCTTCTTGGTTCTCGTTTGAAGTATCTTAAGGGGACATCATCATCTCCACTCGATTCTTCATGATGGAACGGGTTTTCATCAGCTTCGCCAGGTGGTGGCTCCTCGGCTTCATTTTGTGTTTCCCCTTGTTGGCTGACCTCGACGGCAGCCAACCGAGCTTGTAACCTTTGCATTTCTCTCCTTAGTTCTTCGATAGTTTGTTCTTGGTTGATTCTTGGAATCCCTCTTCTTGGTGGCATGTTTCTTGCTTACCGGAATGCAGAAATTCCAGCACAAGGACCGACCGCCAGAGCTTCAGCAAGAAGAATTCTTGGCCTGGTTAGCTCTGATACTAGATAACACCGGGCGGACCTCACGAACAGGAAGAAGAAATCACAAAGAATGGAAAATAGGAAAGAAGAACAGAACATAGAGAAAGAAAAAGGATTTATTCAGTAACAGGGACACCACCTGGTGCCAACACAGGATACAGGCATTCTCCTATTGAAATGCAGGAAATCTCTGACTAAAACTCTACCCTATCATGTACAAGAAGGGCTGTATTTATGGACTTCTAAATGACAACTATTCATAGACTCAACCCCATGCTAAACCGGGCCGGATGCCTATTTACTATCCGACCAAAGTTTGTTGTGTGCGAAATGGTTTGTCCGGAGTAGTAAGGTAGGCACGGTGTTGCTCAGCTCCTGTGTCATCATATCTCCCTCATAAGTCTGAATTCAAATAAACCCTCTTTCCCTAAATAAACCTTTCCTAATTCTCTCCCAAATCTGAATTCAAATCAGCTCTCTTTCCCTAAATAATCTTTCCTAATTCCATCTCATTTTTTATTTTCTAAGGTAAGTAATTAAATGTGGAATTATTCTCCTTTGAGCCCCTTATAATTTTCCCGTTGCCCACCCCATTGGGGCCCACCAGCTTAGTCGCTGGTCCATCACAAGCTTGAGATAAAAGGGGACCAAGATCAATTGGAGCTAAAAACTACATGAATCACTCAATCCCAGACAAACTTTTAGCTCTATTACAACTTACTATGAAATGTGACCGAAGGTCAATCAACTGTTGGGCCTGATACAACAACAATAAAATTCATTTTAACCCAAAAATTTAGGCCTATGGCAGATATCCAATCGCTTCAACATCACATCTTTTCAACTATTTGATGCATGATTAAACATAATACTTTTACAGTTTTACATGCCTTCACAATAATTTTGTTGCTACATAATGATGAAATCCATTAAATATAGCCGGCCAAATTACAATTTTATAAATATATCTTTTATTCTGCATAATAATCTTTCATCACACTTCTACATTTTAACCACCTCATCTTAATTATCAAAATTATCTCAATTCTTCTAGTATAATAGATCTAAGATATTTAAAACGATCACACCTATTAATCTTCTAATCTTTTAGGTAATATTGACTGATAATTATTATTATCAAAACCACTAAACTTGTCTATCATATACTTAATCTTAGTTACAATAATCATAAGCCCTTTATTTTATTAACATTTTTTCATAGCACTAGCTTGCCAGTTATTCAACAAATATCTCAGCAATTAAACAAGCTATCCATGGAAAAAATAAACTAAGGCATCTCGCTAAACATCCTTTATAAGTATATTCATTGTCAATGCAAAAAGGTATGAACTAAATGATGATTCTTGATGTAATTTTATTGTAATAAACTCTTTGTAAGTATATTTATAAATATTTTTAGCAACTTTAACATACTTTTGATATTTAATTCTATTAATATGCATTGAATTAATGCTTGTGGTGTTAGACAATATGTTTTCTCAAGATCAACTAAACATATATATGAAGATTGTGGCTATTATATGTAGTTTTGCATTAATTTTTCTATTCAAGAATGAATCTTCCTAGTTAAATGACAAATTGATTCTCTAATACTAACATGATTTTTCTAAGTCTACGTTCCATTATTCTCTAGCATATTGTCATTGTATTACTCGTTAGTTTAACTCCACTATCATTACCGCAATCTTCAACATCTCCTTTCTTTTATAAATAGTGATACCAAAATGCTTCTTTTTCAATCATTTGGCGCAGTTTTATACTTCACAATTTCATTAACAAAACAACTTCAACATTACACATAAATCTCCAAATTTTAATATGTATCTCATCCTTTTTTTGATATCTCTTTTTTAAAGCTAATTCTACCTTCACTATGTTGACTCAATCTATAATATATTTTATTATTCTGTTCATTATGCTCTTATAAAACAATTTATTCCTTAAAAATCTCATTTAACAAGGCATAACAAAATTGGAAAATGTCAGGAAAAAGTAAACTACCAAGAAAACAGATAATACAGTGAAAATGAACAAGACTGAAGTTACCAGAGCAGAGCAGATTATTCCTGAGTAAAATTTTGAATAAAATTCAAGGAAAAAAAATATAATTGCAATAGATATCTGGACAATGGAAAACAGAGGTTTAAAAGCAAAGTCAGACTCACAACCAAAATAAAACTATGAAACTAAGACCATGGTTAATAAGCACTGATGTAGTTATTAGCATTGTTCACTCATGCTTACCCAAGAAGTATTAGCATGATATTGCATAATAAGAATGAAAATTATCAAAAACAATAAGCTACAAGGACAGGTGAATTAACGAAGATGAGATGAAATGAAACATGTCATTAAATAGGGTCGCTTGCATACATGGAAAAACATTATCATTGCTACTTGGGCTCCTTAGTAAGGGCTCAAAATAAAAAAAAAGAGAGATATCACTAAACATCTACAGAACAAAAAAAGAAACCATGATAAAACAGAACTTGTTTTACAAACGTAAAACTTCAACAGACTATAAAATTTTTATTTTTGTAAAGCTCAATGCAATATGAACAAGACTGAATTGAATAGAATGGACAAGTTTCTCCGTGAATAAATATTGACAAACCAAATACGTGCAAACAGGTAACATGGATACAACTGTGATCAGCATTCTGCATGCTTTAACCTGAAGGATTAGCACTATTACATGATAAATCAAACAATGCAAAGATGGAAATGTGAGGGAAATAGTGAACAAAAAGAGAACAGAAATATGCTCAAATGATAAGCATTTGGTGGTAAAGATCTCATACATATTTAAAATTCCATTCAGCTTACATCCTTCAGTCTCTTAATTAAAGCATCCAATGATTTCTTCTTAGGATTCTGCTTAGCACTTCTTGTACCAAAGGTCCCAAACAACCTATCAGATGAATCCCTAAATTTCTCAGATATGCTCACAACCTTCTTGTAATCCAGCCTGTTGTAACTCCTCTCCCGAATCACAGGGTTGAGGAAATTCTCTGGATTGTTGCTTGTGAGTAAATTAACCAGCTGTCTGGCTTCTGCCAAAGCCAGCTTAAGCTCATTTGTTCCTGCCTCCTCAGATTCGGAAAACAAATGTGACTGATTTTCAGCAAACGATTCAAACAGCTTAACATCATAATCAATTCCTGCTACCGCACTTCCATTGAATCTTTTCACCAAATCACTGAGAAACAATCCCACAATCTTCTCAGAAATATGAGAAAGCACACCATAGATAACCCTGTTAAGTACCTGTGCAGGAAGTATCTGCTGTGCAGTAGAAACCAGTGTCTCCAAATATATGATCACCTCATTAGCATACTCATTCCCATTATGAGGAGGCTCCTCACCCATCCAAATTATACTATCTGTCAAAAGCATAAAATCATCTATCTTTCCTCTCAGCAAACTCAACAAGAGCTCCTCAGTTGCATCTCGCGACTTTTTCAATGCAAATTCTCTCCGAGTCCTCTCTGCAATTCTAAGAGGGATTCCTGAAAGCTGTGCAGCATGACGGAAGAAGAAGTCACAGGCTCGTTCCAAAACCGCCATATTGGCAGCAACCTGCATTGCCTGAGAAACCCCAAGACTTTGTGACTCCACAAGCCGGAGGAAAGCACCATCAAGAACCTCACCAAGGAGCTTATCAAGGTACTTCTTAACAAAAGCATAGAAGTCAAGCTGGCCACCATAAGACAAAAAGCTAACAGAATCTTCAACAAACGATCGAACAATACGGCAACAATCTGGAACAGTAGAGGAGAATGGTGCCACGTAGGGAAAGGCAGGGATGATATCAGAGGTTTGGATCTGAAATGAGAGAACGTTCATAGAATATTCATACTCTTTCTTCATGAGCATCTGCTCGAATTTGTCGGCCGCGAGGGCCTCCAAAATCTGGCGGCGGCAGTCAGAGAGCAGAAGGTCGTGGTACTTGTCGAGGTGCTTGCTGAGGACGTCTAGGAGAGGATCGACAGCGTAACCATAGCGCCGGAGAGTAACACTAAGGAGACTAACATAGTCTTTGATAAGGAGGAGATGACTAGCCGTCTGCATCCTAGAGAACTGGTCCTCCAAGACAGAGACCATTTTGGCTACAGCGGTCTCCCATAGCGCATCGACTTCCATGCGGGTGACGAGTCCTCCGCCGGTGCGGAGCACGCGTTCTTCAACGATGAAGAACCCTGCTATCTGGGCGAAGAAGGTCTGATGTGATTCCAGGAAAGGCGTCATGGAGGAAACCTGGAAGTCCGAGGTGAGCTGGAGTTTGCGGTTCTCAAAGTAATACTGGCGGAAGCGGTCCGCGAGACCAAGGGTTTGGTAGATGTGGTAAGCGCGGTAGAGCGGGGTAAGTTCAAAGGCGCCAACACCGGAGAGAGGGTCGTCAGCATCATCTTCCTCGTCTAGGGAGTAGACACAGTCGCGAAGGCTAAGCCGAGACTGCTCTTCTGCCTGGCGTTGCTTGACGCGGAGTTCTTCTTCTCGCTGGCGAGCGGCAGAAGCCCGGCCGATGGCCATCTGGCCAAGGTTGCGGGAAGCTACGCGTATGTGGACCATCCAATCGGAGAAGTCCTTGGAGATGCGGCGCTCGGCTTGGGCTCGGAAGGCGGGAATTTGTCGCTGGAGCATTCGACGGAGGGCGGCCGAAGGAACAGCGTCCGGGAGGAGGAAATCGCGCTCGAGGGAGCCGACGGCTCGGAGGGCGCGGTAGAGGTTGTCGTCGGCGAAGTGATCATTAGCACGGTCGCAGAGGTCAAGAAGGCGGACGCAGCTATGAGCGGAGGAGAGCGCGGCGGCTAGGTTACGTGCAACGGCAGAGGCTTCAAGGTAGGAATCGAGTGAGGATAGGAGAGGTGCAGCGACGGATTGGAGGAGGGAGTTGGCTTCGGAGAGGGACGATTTGAGGGAATCGGCGTCGGAGAGGAGGGAGCGGAGATCGTCGACGGCGCCGATGAAATCCTGATAGTGGGCCTTGCATAGGTCCTCGATCTCAGATTCCTTGGAGCGGACGTAGTGGCGGAGAGATTGGAGAAGGGAGTCTGGGCGGCCAGAGGCGAAGGCTTTGCGGACGAAGGGGGCGAGGTCGTCGCTGTTGGCGATCGCCGTCGACAGAAGAAGGAGATCCTGCTTCTCAGACTCCCCGGCGGCACCGCCGCGGGAAGGTGGAGGAGCTAAGGAGGAATCCGGCAACGATTTTCTCCTCATCTTTCCCGGCGGTGAGGGGGGAGTTGACGGATCTAGACTTGTTTCGCTTCCGAGTCTAATTATCCCGTGTTGCAGTCGCGGTGGTTGTCGTATCGTAGCATATATTTCTGGACGCCCGGTGACGAAGAAATTTAACAGATTTACGGCTTTGCCACTGCAAGTGAATTTTCATTAGAGAGATAGCTTCACCGAATGGTGCGATTAGTTATCCAACCTTGAAATTTTAACGAGCAACTGACATCAACCGTCGCAGTATGTGCTTTTTTACACCAGCTAATATTTTTTTTTTCAAAATAATGATAAAAAATTATTTCAAATGAAGCTCTAATTGACATATAAGTATCTAATAAATTCATAATATGAGTTGAAAATTTTGATTTATTTCATGTGTTTCAAAATTATAAAAATATGTAATTTATTTATTTTTTAGCAAAATATATTTGAAAATTCTATTCCGAACAAAATAAACTAGCTATATTCATATCCCGTAGTACATTAGGGATGACATTTCGCTCTTCCTATGTGGCCTTTATCCATCGATGTTCTCATAATATCTTCATGTGAATTTTTTCTCTTAGGAGAAACCGCGACAGTAAAGTTTATAAAAAATTATTTATCGATGACTTAAACACGTTTGTGTACTATTTTTTGAAATTTTATTGTTTATTATAAATATGTCATTTTGATGGAGATCTGATGCTGAGATAATATAATATCAAATAATGTGATTTGATATTGACTAATATATGTGCTTGCATTATGTTTAGATTTTGTTTTAATCATGATCGAACATGGTTCGATGTATCAAAAGCTATGTTGTTCAATCATTATTCGAACCATATTCAAATATTGTTATATGAATAAGGTATGATCATATCTTAATTAGGCATATTTTAACTAGATCTAAATCATACGATAATGTCATCAAATATATATAGTTTATTTTTAATAATGTCTTCATTTATCTTCAAATATAGCTCGATTATAAATTGAATGTGCTCTACTATGCATTGATCATTATTTAATCATTGTTCGATCAAAACATATACACTAAACACAAGCCTTAAATTATAAAATTCTTAACTCTATACACTAACCCCTAACCCCTAATAAGAAGCCCGCAAACTCTGTATACTAAACCATAGCCCTAAGTCCCAAAAACCGTTATAACCCCAAAAGTTCCAAACACCATAATACCTATTCCCAAAACCCTAAACTTTTAATCCTACCCCTTGCACAATAAAAATTAAGCTTAAGCCTATACCTCAAATCATAAACCACTAAAATATTAAACCCAAAGCTCTTCAAACATGAACCTCTAAGCACTAAATCTTATTAATTAAACTCTAAATCTTAAACTTAAAACCGAAATCCCAAACTAGAAACAATCTAACTCTTAAACCCTAAACTCTATACCCTTCAACTTTAAAGTCCTAAATCATAAGCTTTAAAAGTTGAACTTCTTATAAACCCTAAAATTCTGGGGAAAAAAACCCTTAAACTCTAAACTAAACAAAAAATTATTAATATATCTAAACTAAGTATAAAACTACCAAACCCCAAACCTTAAAAATATTAAAAAGCCCTAAAAACATAAAACTCATAAACTCTAATTTATAAATAAAAAACCTTAAACCCAAAATATTATACCATAATTATTCAATTTAGGGGCTACACAAATATAACTCCTAGCCTAGATGGGTCATTGCCATAAAATAACTCTAATCCAATAAATACTAATTTATTAGCATCATGCTCTAATATTATTGTGAAGCTTTTTGAGCAACTCCTAAAAAAATTAGCATACCAAATATTATTCAATGATATTGATATATAAATATCTAAAATACATAAATTAGGATTACATAGGACAATTTTTTTTTTTTTTGGGAAAAGGGGTATCGGCCAGCTGCCACGTCAGCTTGTGACGCGCTTGGCGATGTCCACTAGTCTCTCGGTGAGCCTACCAGCAACTAGCCTCACAGGTGCATGACCCGCAGTTATTTTCTCCCCCGAAGGAATCGTGCCGTATGAGAGGGGATTCGAACTTGGGATGGGGGTTCCCAACCAAGTTCGCCCACCAACCCACCTAAACCAGGTGGGGTGCATAGGACAAAATTATTTAGTAAACTAATTAAGTTTAAGAAAACCATGTGCTTTTAAAATCTGGCCTCACATAATCTGCTTTTGAAGGCCACCATAAGCCTATTGGAGTCGGGGGAGGAGGAGAAGAAGGGATAGATGATTGGATTAACCTACCTCAGGCAACCACCTGTGGTCTGCGGCCTCGTCAGGTCTACTTCCTGCTTCTTATCACCCATCTTCTTCATTTCCGCGAGGAAGAGGAGCTGGGTAGCCCGTGCAAATGACCGGCTCGATGGAGTAGGCTTCGATTCGAATCTACATGCGGCAATCAGAGCGGCTTTCATTCGATTCGAGGAGACTCTTTGCCCCGGTAATTTTCCTCTGTTTTCTAGCATTTTCTGTAGAAAACCTAGTCGAAGAAATGCTTCGAAGGAATTGTGGTTTTGGTTCTCAACAAATAGAATAAGAACTGGTGAGAACTCTCTTTTCAGTTGTAATCATACTTTGAAAAACTGTTTGAAAGCAAGTATGAGATTGCGGCCGCTGGTTCTCCCAACATCCTTTCTAAGGTCCACTCCTTCGACTATAGCCTGATCATTCATAAGCTTTGTTGCAAACCCACACTCTGTTTGGAACCAAAAAAAAAAGGCAAACCATAAGAGGATGTGATGGTTATTGAGAGTCCTCCTTTAACTAAAACCAAAGAAATTATTAGTTACGGACTTTGTACGAAGCTCTAAATGTAGAAGACACTGGTACACCATCGTGTTGAATGTTTGGTTTCAGTCTATTTTAGTGACTATTTTCTAACATATGCTGAATTGTTCAAGTGGCAGATCCTCTTTTTATCGACCCATATGCTGAATGTTTGGTTTCTTCTGAGGTTGGTAACCCTGTGAAGAAGCCGCAGCAAAGATCCTCGTTATCATCACTACATTACAGACTGGCAACTAAGTTCATTGATGACAAAATACTTGATGAGATTAGTAGATTAGAGGAGCTGAGGCAGGTTTACTGCTTGACCTTAAATCTTCATTATTTCTGAATTATGTTAAATTAGCTTATACCGTGTAGATTGTTCTTTTGACAGATGGTATGGACACTCGTCCGTATAGGTTGAACTGGCCACGATTTACAGTCATTTATGATATATCACCTGAAGCTGTCTTTGAAGCAGCTTATGGGAAGCTTCAAGGTTTGTGTGAACTATTTTGTATAAACTCAAATCAAGATTGCACAATCAGAGAAATGATATGGCTTATATCATGAATAGTTAGCTTTGGGATATAGCCAGTTTGTGGGATATCACACAAACTAGCCTTTTATGGTTTCATAGGAAAATTCGCATTGCTGCCTAGTATGGAATTCTTTGCTCTCTTTAGCTCTTATGTTTAGTGTTTAGCTAGTGATGGCTACAGTTTTTTTAACTGTATTCTGTGTCAATTTTCTCAGTTCTCATTTGTTGGGATCATATTGGTAGAAGCTACTGCATATACTTTGATATTCCATGCTTAAAATATAGATATATGGTATTTTGATCAATATGCAAAAACATTATTGCATAAAGGCAAGTTAGGAAACAAAATGAAGAGCTTAGATCTATGATACATTCATGAAGGTTGAATCAAGTGAAAATCATTGAAAATTGAATTAATAGGGTCCTTGTGATGATTTTAGGTTTAATACAATTTCCATACTAAATTATAAATATGACGGTGAATGTTAGGATGCATTTTTTTCTTAGGCCAGACCGAACCTGACTAGAGGGAGGTGATAGCAATGGTAACTGGCGGTTTTCCATTGACAACCACAAATTAGGGAGTAAAGAGGGATATGCCATGTCTTTGCCCCCATTATGTTTTCCTAGGCGTAAAGGCTCGGCTGAAGATTGGATAACTGGAGATTTGGTGCCTCCACCCCCTTGATTAAGATCTACAAATCCTTCTTTCCAACTCCTCTATCAAGCTCAAAAACAGTTAAAAATCCTTCTCTAGAACCTTTCCATGCATTTTGTTAAGCTTGTTAGAGGGTCTAGGACCTCTGGCTACACTCACTACGGTCAGTGGTGGAGCTAGCTTCAGTCCATGGGATAAAATGATACAAATGAAATGAAGGATATAGATAGGTCAGTTTATTATCTTATTACAAAATAGCATACCTTACTCAACCCATTGAAGTATCCATTTGCAAGTGAGAGAGGAAGATGGGGGTTGAAGTCTCCATAAAAGTGAATATTATATGTGGTCGATCTTACTATATGATGTATTAAATGAATGATTCTACGGCTCTTTATTATTTTGGGGAGACTCCAAAAATATGATATTGTGGACAATATACTTTCTTTTGCTAGCGCGCTACATACTAGTAAGCATGAGATAGTCTTTAAATCTGTGTTATATAATTGGAGCTACAATAGAGCATATGGGATTATTTGATGCGAATGTCCATTATTCTTGCAACTTGCATAAGTGTTACTTTTGTTCACTGTTATCATTTTTGGAATTATGGTTAAATAATATTTGCTAAGGTATATATTACTCGCTTGCAAGTTTGGAGTAATTTCCTTGCTTCTTATAGACATATTTGGAAAGATTTTTTATTTTCCCTCCAATGTGGTTTATCAATTATATTGAGAGTCATACATGAGGTTCATCTAATCTTGGCACAGTGTTCTTTTTTAATTTCACGTACAAATATGAAAATCTCTCTAAGTTGAAAAGTACTAAGAATTGTTCGCCTCTTGTTTTTTTAGAATTGTTCGCCTATGGAAAGAATTGTTCGCCTCTTGTTTTTTTAGAAAATCAAAATTTTGGTTGCAAGTGAGGCTCAATCTGGAGGAGAATAAAATCGATTAGGATTGAATTAAGTTAGCTAATTTTGTGGAGTAATTTAAAGAGAAGGGTTGAAATTTTGAATTAAAATTTATAATTTGAATTTAAATTCGGATTTGGATGATTTAAGAAATTTAAAGGATATGATTGAGAATTTTTAGGAGATGAGATGATAGAAATAATAAAGGGGATGTGGCATTGTAAAGAGAATATGTTTGAAAAATATAAATAAGAGGCGTGTGGAGAGAAAAATCCATGAGAAAAAAGAATTTCAGTTTCTTTGGCTCCTAAATTTTTTTTTCCAAGTGAGGAAGGGCTCACGAAAGTTTTAAGAGGGGAGTAAACACATGAACTTACTGTAAAAAGTGCAAAAACTATAAATATATAATTATATATGCAAAACAACTAAAATTTATAGAATTTAAGTGCAAAAATAGTGGATTTTTTTTGCGATGCCAAATTGATGTAAAATATGAAGCATAATAGAGTCAATAGGAAATTGAAAAAATAGGGAAAAAATATTGATATATCAAATCCTCAAATGATAGAATCCTCAAAATAGCCAAATTGACGAATCCTCAAAGTAGTGTGTTGATTCCTTACATTAATAAGGAAATTACTAGAAAGAAAAATGTGGGTTACATGATGTTTTAATTAAATTTATTATAATTAGGTATTTTTACAAAGGTTCAAGGGCTATTTTTAAAATTTTCGTGAGAATTGGAAGTCCAAATTACACCAACAAGTTTATTACATAAGAGGCCTCATGTAGCACCACCTCAATATCTCAATTAAAAATTTTCTACTTGTTGCAATTCATGTAAAAAATAATGTAAAATTTATATGTAATTAGTTCATTGCAGTACCTAATTGCATGTTTTTTTTTTTTCTGATGTTCTTTTTCTTAATGATGCATAATTTAGGTGGTGGAGCTAAGGTTTCCAAAACTTGCATGATGATCCACGCTTCGCTTGAGTCATATGACTTGCAAACTCTTCTACAAAGAAAAGGGTTTAGCGGTCATAAACCAAGCTTATGGGCACTCCAGGTATAATAACTCAACACCCTGCATTTTTTTTCTGATTCAAAAAATGTAGCTAGTCCACAATGTTTAGGAAAAAAATTAGGTTAGGATTTCCTGGCCAACGTTTTTTAGGATATGCTTCAAAATCATTGGAATCGCTCTGAGGTTAGTGCAATACAAGTTTTGATTGATTATCAATATATTGTTCTAATCTCAAAGCAAATTTAACAGTCTTAAATCTATCATGACTAAATTTTTTTCTTAATTTTATTTCTCTTTTGGTATGTATTGCTTCTTCTGGGACATCAAGTCAATTGGGGTGATAGAATGATGTGTTACATCATTCTTTTGTGTTTTGTGCATTTTGTTTGTTTTCTTCTAGTAAGAACGTGAAGTTATCTCTTTATTTTCTATTTGAACAATGCTTTACGCTTAATTATTGTTTCCAAAAGTTTTGTTTTTTAATGAAAAATTGTGCTTTTTAATGGGCCAATGATTTCTTATGAAAAGCTAACCTCTTATCCTGAAGCCTCCTTGATTGTGCAAGAGAGGAATTACGAGTGGTCTATTCTTGAGGTAGATTAGGTTTGCTTTTAACTAGATTTCTCGTAACTAAGGCATTAACTTTTTTTTAGATATGGGGTTGAGAATTTTATTGGTGCAAACCCTCAAGTTAACTTAGGAGAGACAGGTTCTACAACCCTCTATTAAAGTAGGACTTGTTTGCCCAAATTTTTGAGTATGCATTGTCATTCATGTCCATCTCTCAAATGGCCCATCATTATTATGTAGGAGTGTTTCTTTCTCATGTTTGAATACTTGCTTGTCTGTATTAAAATAAGCATCTTATGTTATTGTGCTTTTGCGAGTCCATTAATTATTTTACTTCGTTTTCCATCCGATGCAATTTTGTGTTGAATCTGATTGTACTTATTTCTTTAGAGATTGAGACATTGATTGACTGCCATTTTAGTGATATTCAACTTTATTTTTTAGAAATATTGCGACTGTTATGATGCTTTTATCATCACATTTTATTAAATCTTAATAAGACTTTGACTTATCCTATCATTAAATGATTTTTTTAATGAAGCATTTTCCCCTCCCTCCCCCTCTTTCTCTTTTTCATACCTTCTCCCTCCAAACTCTCTCCCTCCCTCTCTCTTTGCCCATCCTTCCTCTCCCCCTCCTCTTTGGATCATCTTTTGCCCTTTCTGTCGTCGTTTGATTTTTTATTTTTTATTCCATTGAGTGAGACACTCGTCACTTACAACTTTTGCAAAGCAAAAAAATCCATCTTATGTTGATGGATGAGCTTGTTGACTATTGAGCGCAATCACTCTTCTTTGAAGTGCTTCCTTCTAAACGAGAATGTAGCCTATTGCTGTGACCTGAGCCTCTCTTCTTCCTTATATCTCCCACCTTCCCCCTCTCCTGTTTCTTTGCAATTTTTACACTTATTTATTAAGTTATAATATTACTAAGTGTTTATATAATTTATATATTTATATATAGATGTGACTAGGGCTCAGACGGCTAGGGCTCGAGACCCAGGCATAGAGCACAACCATGAGAGGTGAGAGGGAGAGCGGCCAAGTTGAGCTACAGATGAGAGAGGTAGATTCTGCGATTGGCAAGAGTGTGCAAATGCCAGAGAAATTTGTCATTTCATTATTGTTTTTGTTGCATGTATTGTTATGTATGATAATAGATATAGCGCAACTCACATAATTAGATTCTGAGGTCAACGACAATATGAGGAGTTCTGATGTAAGCAGTACATCGAACCATGTGATATTGCATCAGATCCATATCATTCTAGTATATAGTGATCCATTCAGTCATCATGCATCCAATGAAAACCATATGTTAACTATAGATGAACACGGGTCATCTGGAGGGTTGGGCAAAGTGCGAACATGGTGCACAAAGTTTTGTCGAGTTTGCTTGAATGTTTCTCAACACCTTGAGAGTTGAGTCTATTTTTAGGTTATCTAAGGTTTGTTCTGGGTTGATCATAGGTCTAATGATTGGCTAGTTGTATTCGTGGGATCCAAAAGATCTGGCATAGGTTCAAAGTTTAGCTTAGAAGTTTAATTGCTATAGTTTCAATTGGTACAAAAAAAAGTAAATCGATCCATTAAGCTATGATAACTTCTTGTCATTGCTTGGATCCTTTAGATTCTATGAAATGTTACACCAAAATGCAAAAATATTATTTCAGGTACATTTTATTTTGGTGCTTTTTATAAAGGCTATCATTGCTTAAATGTTCATTCATTGTTGAAATTTTTATGTTAGTGTTCATTTTTTATTTTTAAAACCTCATCTTCTCCATCTTCATCTATTTCTCTATTGTGGTGTGAGGATGGGAGTGGAGGATGTGGCTATCTGCTCCCATCTTTGCTTTTGATCCCTTAGATACCTTCTCCATCCAACTTTGTCTATTTGTGTATGAATTTGATTGGCACTCCAAGGATAGAAATGCTGATTTTTTTTTGAGGTGGTTAATGGACGATGTGTGGTAAAGAAAGATGGCTTTCAGAGAATAAACAATTATCAAGCTGATATACTTCATATTAGGAGGCAACATATGGGAGATTCAAAATACTGAAGAATTCACTCCTATATAAGATAGATTTTTAAGTGTTTCAATTTTGTAGCATACATGCATTATGCATAGGAGGGGAAGGTTTCACTATAAAAAGAAAATTATAGAGCTCCTTCCCCTAGTAATAAGGGAAAGATTATAATGTAGATAAATAAATATTTTACAAGAGTTCTATCTCAATAAGTTGCTTAATTCATGAACCCTGCTAATAGTATGGAGATTATATAGATGAAAACCACATAACAAAGATACCTCGGAATTACTATGACTGACAAACACATTCATTAGGCATTAAGTAGTCCAGGTGATGGAGGACACATGTCGAATGGGTTGGTTGGGGTGGGGTGATTTGGCACCATATGTCAAGGTTCTATTGGATGGTGGGTTTGATGAATAGTTTTTGTTTTTTGTTGTTAACAACTAGGTGACATGTGATTAGTGGTGTAAACTAGTCGAGCTTAGCACGAGCCACCCCACGCTTGAGCTTAATTAATTATTCAAGTTTAAGGTTGAGCTTAATTCTACAAGTTCGATTCGGCTAATGAGCCAACTTATTTATTATAAAAAAGAGAAAATAATTATGTTTTAAGTAGTTGTAATATAATAACATAAATAATGAGAAATTATAAAAGGAATAATAAGACATCACCTAATATAAAGAAGTGAGATATTTTTTAAATATTTTTAATAAATTTATACTTAAACTCTTGAATTCTAATATTTTAAATTATTTACATTAAAATATTTTAAACGAGCATGCTCACAAGTTAACAAGTCTTCCGAGACTGACTCAAGCTTAGCTTATTATCTTATTGATCTTATCTCACGAGCCATTCATCGAGCTAGGTATTAGACAGTTCATGAGTCGGCTTAACTCAGTTATATCTCTGCATGAAAGATTAGTGGAAGGGACTGAAGAAATATTGAGAGACATGCATCATGTTGTGTTGGCCCTTCATATGCATCAAGGATGGCAATAATTGTTGTTGTAGTAATATGTTAATATAGCAGTAGGGTTGGTTAGAGTAGCGTGTGTGGATAGGGAGAAAATCAACGTATAGGAGTGAAAAGACAGATGAAAACAACTCAAATATTCTATAAGCCATTGGCAAGTCTTTTGAATATGAGATGGGTAGGTGGGACTAGTTGGCCGAGTCTGATCAAATATTTTGGATGAATGGGTAGTCGAGGGCGTCTTAGACAAATGGTAGTCTAGCATGTTTTTGAATTGGGTGTTTCTTATTTTGACCAAGCGGAGTCTGGTTGTATATTTAAGGTTGAAAGAATCTTGCTAACATGACCAATCCAGGCTGTCTTGATATGTGGATGGTTGGGACTGAATGTAGAAAATAAGACATTATAATGGTCACTATTAATATACCATTTCATCAAACCTGTCAAGCAACCCCACATCTCATAGCATTTAGGGTGTCATCAAACTATTGCTCTCCCTTAATCCCTCAACTATTACCACAATAAAGGTGACAAAGGAGCCATGGGTTCGCAACAAGCTCCTATTCTTAACCCTCCTTATTTCATCACTCGCCCTCACTCGAAGTGATAAGTGGAAGGGATGGGGGAGATTATGGTTACGGTCAATCTTCCATTAAAATACTTTAATTTCTGAGAAATTAATGTGCTAATTTTTTAAGAAGCATGGAATGAGCTTGTGCTTATGTGAAGTTTCTAGACGACGGGAGATCCAAAGCTTGATGCTTTAGAATGGGGCTTGGTTTGGGCTATAGAGTTAGTCAAACCAACAAATTCACAACTCATTGATTAAGCTTAGTTGTGTTGGAAACTTGATGAACGGGTTTGTCAACGGTGCCTCCCCCCCAGACCTTTTATGTATGTGTTGACATAAAAAATGTCAATTTGATGTACGTCTTATGTGGATTTGCATGTTAAAATTTTATGCATGCAAATTTTATCCACGTAATAATTTTTGAACAAATCTCATCTCACAAAAATTGATTACACCATTGCATTAGAATTGTTGAGACACGTTAAATGACCATATCTGAGGCAAGGTTGGACAGTGATTGATCATGAGTTATGGGGTTATTCTTTTACTATTGAAAAGGATAATCCATGTAAATTTTCTTTATTAGACCTTGTTTCAAAAAAAAAAAGAAGATTGCACCATTGCATTTAGATCATTGAGACTAGTTGAATGACCTATTTGAGGCAAGATTGATCGATGTTTAATCACATGTCAAAATAATTATTCTTTTTTAATCAAAGCAGATAATTCGTGTAATTTTTTTTATAAGGACTTCATTTCACAAAACGACTGCACCATAGTATTCGAATTGTCAAGACAAGTTGAATGAGCCTATTTAAAGCAAAATCAAACTTCATTTGATCACATGTTGAGAGGATTATTCTTTTTTTATCTAACAAGGATAATTTT